TGAAAAACAATAATTACTTCAATTAAATGATTTTAAAGAGATTATGCGCAATTAAAGCTTCATTTGCCAACTTAATGTTTGTACGATGATATTCTGATTTTTAAACCTTCTTAATTATATAATGATATTATTCAATTGATGAATTATAAATCACAGATTACAGATGTTTTGTGTTTTATAACATTAGTCAGTAACCAGTGCGGAGTAAATAGAATCAGTTGACCCATAATTTGTACTAACTTGGTGCAAAGAAATTTATCAATATTATAATCATTGGACTTTCATTTGAACTTACGCGAAATTCCACTATAATATAATATTATTCCAATTGTGCAAAAGAGTTCTGACCTTTCAAGATCTCTCCGGCATAAAGTACAAATTTTCAAAGTGTTTTCAGATCACTTCAAAGTTTCACAATCGTTTCAAGAGATTAAACTGACACGTACAGTGGCGCACAGCAGCTTCGATACTTCGTGAAACTCGGAAAATCTGGAAGAGTAAATTTGAAAAATTAAATTCCATATCTTCGACTGGAAGATCTTCGGAATCGCGGGATCAAAGAAATGGGGGAACTTTCTAGAAGAGTTCAATGTTTTACGATTCACTGTTTTCTTCGGCTATTCGCAGAGGGTTCCTACGAAAGTTTTTATAGATGCATTTTATGCAACTTGCAAGCGTTTGCCCTTCAAACTATAGAAGAAAGAGCAACACACACTTCCATTTCGATAGAAATGATCGATGTCGGCTACACGTTAACCTGCTTCTGAATATCCACCGATCACACGATGCTAGAAAGTTACAAATTGACTTGTAATACACACGCGAGCATACCGACGAAAGCCAAATAGTTTCATCGTAAAGGCCAACAACTGTTTCCCTTTTCCTGGATTTCTCTGCTCGTTCATTTTTCAAAAGGCTCCTCCTTGGAAAAAAGGATACCTTGAAAGGAAAGAACCGACTGAACTCGTGATACTTTCTTTCTTAGATTCTTTCTTAGATTCTCGGGAACGTTGCTTTGATGAGACGGCGTAATTAGAAAAGCGAGAAGAGAAAGATCAGGAAACAATTTATGTATAAACGTCGTTCATTCTAGGATTCGTCTTGCGGATTTCCACTTGCAACATTTTTATTTTCTTTTACAAAGCGAACTCGAGAACGTATCCCCATAAGATGGTGTAATTAGAGAGGATTCGTATTTCTACTTCTCAGTGATGATGTTTTCTTTGATAAAATGATCCTGAGAAATGTCCCTTTGACGAAACCACCGTATATTGTGTAAGACGGAGCAATTGGAATAGCAATTAAAAATAAAGAAAAATATAGAAACAATTTGGTTACACTACTGTTCTAGGACTCGCATTTCTATTTCTATTTCCAAGGATATTTTCTTTTATGAAATGATCTTGAGAATAAAATTTCTTTGACGAAATCATAAGATGATACGATTAAAAATAGAGAAACATCCGAGAAATAAATTGCATTGAAACATCGATCGACTACAATCGTTCATCCAGGACTCGTATTTCCACTCGCAGAGGCAAATTCATCCCTCTGCGTAATTGCAAGATACAGTAGGTCGGCTATAAAACTTTTACTACTCCATATCCGGAGGATCACGTTTTCGTGGAAACTATCACAATTTCTTAGACTATGGTACGTGTTCTCGTGTGTATATCTACGCATGCACGTATGACTTGCCGCGAATGGTGTCTATGACCTATATAACACGCCCAAGCGTAACTAGGTCATGCACCTCTGTATCCCCTGGAATAATACAGGGTGTCCTCCTTTGAAGAAAGAACTAGGTCCCCGGTATCGGTTAAACGAAAGTAAAGAAACAAAAAGGGGAAAGAAAGTGTCCACCATCGTCCGTAAGTAAGTATTTGGATAAGTTCTAATGAAATATACTTCAAATGAGAGTTTTTAATATAATTCTGACCTCTGATCTTATCTGAGCTATCTATATAAATATATACTATAGATTTACTCAATTATACACCATAGATTCTAAAAAATATTTCTGCTAAAAACAGTAGTTGACATTCATTAGTAATAATAAATAAAAAAAGAGTAATTGAAAATTTATCCTGCAGATATATTTAAGTGGCTTTAAGTATATGTGTTCTATATTAGAACATTAATATTTAGAATATTAAATATTAATTTAATATTGTAAATGTTTCTATAAATTTGATGAAGTGTCAAACATCCATTTGCAGAACACTTAAACATATAATAATTTCAACTTAACAAATCATTGCAAAAGTATCATTACAAAAGGATCGTTCTTCCATTATAAGAGCTGAGAATTTGTA